TATACTACAGATATATAATCTCTAATTTTGATTTTCTTCGATTATTTATTTTCTATCTTCCTTTCTATTTTGTTTGTTTTTATTTAAAACAAACAAGGCAAGTTTGAAATAATACTTGCTTTAATTCTTTTCAAATCTTCAATTGAATAAAGTATTTTTTTTTTAAAAGAAAACCATTTTCTAACATGTCCTTCAACTATAATTTTTAATTTTAGGAATGAAAATATGGAACACAATATTTTACAACGCCATTCAGCGGCAACAACTAAGAATATGGGTGTAAATTCTTATTCTCAAATTATTTCTGCATTTCGTGCTCAAGGTGATCTTACAGAAAATCAACTAACTATTTTACCTGCTTTACAAAATGCATTTGGTATTAGTCGTGAACGACATACAGCTGAAGTAAAACGTGCACTTTATGATGAACATTTATCTGAAATAGCTACAAGGTTTAGATCACAAAAAAAAATTATTTCTTTTCAATTAAATAATTCTTTGGTTTTTTTCTTTATTTAGTATTAATCCATCACCAAATACAACAAATTGGGAAATTGAAGCTAATTATGCATGTCCAACAATTGTTCATCGTCCTCCAAATACAAAATATATTCAATTAGCTGAACATGTTTTACAAACAACACCACCAACAACAATTATTCAACATCCTCAACCAATAACAACAACAAAATTAAGTAAGAAAGAACAAAAAACAAAACAATCATATTATTGAATTTTTTGATTTTTTATAGATCATGATTTACAACAACTTGTTAATGATGAAATAAAACAAGATGGAATTCGAAATGCAACACAACAACAACTATTGAATAATAATACATCAAGACAAAATTTAAATACAACAGATATTAATAGTAAATTAATTTTTTCTCTCATCAACAAAATCAAATTTTAGATGAACATGAAAATGTGTATCAACACACACATATTTTTACTTGTTTTTTGTTTCAATAAGTTATTCTTTTTTGTTAATATATTTATTTTTTAGGTTCAAAAGTAATTCGTTTAGTTCGTGCTAAACAAGCACCAAAACGTAAATCAAGTTTAGATACATTAATTGAAGTTGTACAAAAAGAATTACTTCGTGTTAATGAACAAGCAAATACAAATTCACCATCACATTACACTCAAATACGTTCAGTATCATCATCATCATCAAAAATACAAAATCCAATATTAACATCTCATCGTTCTATAATATCATCTGTTTTACCATCATCTCATCCAAGTTCATTAACATCACAAACAAATCATTCATTTAAAATAACACGTAAACGTGGAATTGATAATTTTAATATTTCAAAAAGGAATTTATTTTTACAACAACGAAATAAATCTTTTAATGATGATGATAATAATAATAATAATTTTATAGAAAATGATGATATAAAACAAACAATAGATGATATACAATCAGATTCAGAAAATATTGAAGAAATTGTTCGTGATACTGTTGATAAACTTGTTGCTATAACGCTTTTAAATAATGCACCATTTATTGTTAATATGCTTACAGCTATTCCAAGTACTGATAATAGTACAAATACAGAATCTAAAATCATAACAAATACTCTTGGTACAAATGTAAGTAAATAAATACAAAATTATTAGATGAATAAAATTCTTTTCGTATGAGAAAAATAAGATAATAATTTCATGAAGAATGTTATTTAAATTTAAATAAAATGAAAGAATTAAGTAGCTTAGTACAATGCTAATAGAAATATACAGAATAGATAACTCCTGCACATCTGTAAATATAAATTATTGTACAGTAGTTGCATAAAGTTCCGCTATCTGATAAAAAAGTACCTAAACTTTAATTCTTTAGTTTCATAATTTGATTACAAATAGAACATGGTGAATTCTAATTGCAAGAGCTCATTAGAACTTGCTCGACCCTCATGAGGAGGAGCTAGAAGATCAACATAGATTTTTTCTTCAAACAAGGATATCTCGACATAGAAACAAATTTCATAACGTTAGAGCCTTCATTCGACAGATCACTACTGCCTCTTTCACCAATAAAATTCCATATCAAATGATTTTGGTTTTGCCTGATTTATGACGAATTCGTTGGATAATCTTCACATGAGTGTTGATACGAATTGTTAAAAAGTGATTCATATCTTCGGTTAATTTTAATCATTTGCTTTGGAAATCTCACGATCACAATTATCAATGAAGAAGAGATCAATATTGAGATTGCCCCAGACAATCGAGATTTCCTTGCATCTCAAGATTACAGCGGATTGCAGTACACTATCTGTGACACAATATAAACATGCGAACGTTTATGTGTCAAAAGAAGCCTTGTTTGAGTCCTATGGAAAAATCACAATGTTTTCATCATAAATCCTTTGCAGTAAGGTCTATCGACCTTGGATCGATGCTTGCGATCAGAGTTTATACCGAGCTCTATTTGTAGTCAAAATATCAGACAAAAGGATTGAATTTTATGTACTTTTTATCCGATAGCAGAACTTCTTGCAACTATTGTAACTATTCATATATCTTGAACAATAATCAAAAGTATACATTAAATAAAATTCTGAAACAGTATATATGAAATAGATTCGTTCTCTAATCTGAATTTCTCAGAATCGAAAATCTACATATTTTAACAAACTTTCAGTTCAAATTCTGATACAAAACACAATAAAAAAAATAAAAAAATTATTTATCAGCCTACACAGGTAGATAAGCAATTATCGTATTGACAAAAAAAAGACTTCGCAAATAGTCTTCGCATTAAGAAACTGTATCTTTACCTTTCGCAAATATCTTTAAAAAAAAAGATTATTAATTTATCAAAAAAAAAAATATTTGTAACAAATCAATTCTATTTTTTAGAATACATCGACTATAAAATCTCAATCAACATCAACAATTTCTAAATCAGATCATTATCGTAATGATCATACATTACTTTCATCAATAGGAAATGATTTACGAAATTCATTACAACAAACATCACCTATGAAACAACAACAACAAATTCATCATTCTCAATTAATTATTCAACCAACAACAACAACTCCTATATCAACTATTCAAGGAACAACAACACCAACACTTTTTGTTACTCCACGTATATTAAATTTTCAAACAGTTGTACCAAAACCAACAACAAATATTCAAATAGGTAATACAAAAATAATTCTTGTTTCACCATCAAATATTACTCAACATTTACCACATTCAACAACATCTATTCAACCAACATCTACAACAAATTCACCACAACAACAACAACAAAATCTTGTTAATAATAGTCCTGTTAAATTAGTTAAATTTGCTACAACAAATAATAATAATAATTCAATAACAACACGTTCAACAACATTACCAATAAATACAACTCAAACATCAACATTAACATTACCAAAAAATGTTCAAATTGTTATTCCATCTCAAACACCATCAACAATACAATTAACACGAACACATAGTGATGATTTAAATAAATCTCTTCCAACAACAACAACATTTCGTCCTGTTACAACAGTACCAATGGCATTGACAACATGTACAGTTGATCAAATTCCTCAAGCAGCACAAGAAGTAACAATAACAACATCTCCAGTATCATCACCACCATTAACAACAAATACATCTGATCTTCAACAACAATCATCTCTAGGTACAACAATTAATGTTATTTCTTCAAATTCAAATAATCAATCACAAAATAATACAAATAGTCAACAACAAAGTTTTCTCACAAATTCATCCGAGAATAATAATAATAATAATGGTGCAACTATAGGAAAATCACGACGACGTTCATCAAGTAGTGCATCGATTGATAAGCCTGTCGGCAAAATTTTACGACCGATTGCTAAAGTTCTTCCAGTTTATTCACCTAGCAATAGTAATAATGATAATGATCATGGTTAGTCTTCTAGGAGAAGTTATTTGAGCATCGATTAGAAAGAACGAGACCTTATAAGAACATAAATTTGTCCATTCTTGAATTTTTAAAAAATTCATCTATATTTTTCGATATAGAATTTTATGCTGAGTTTTTTTTTATAGTAACTTCAGATTAATTTGATGATATCTAGAGTACTCAAGATCCAAAATATTGTCCATAATTTCTCATTATCGACATGGCCATCGGAATCATGAGGTGTCTTTCTAATTACTTTCGATAGCAGCGATGCTTTCCTCTCGGATTACTCTCATCAAACAGATCATTCAATTCTACTGCATTAATTCCTATAAGACTCAATCTATAGAAAAAAAATTATCCATATCTTTTATTTGTCACTTCATTGACCTGTCGACAGATACGAGATCAAAGGAGTTAAGTTGTAGTAAATCTTTATATGCCAACCCATGATATTTTTCGAATGCCCACAAAATCATATATTTATAAAATTCGAAAATAACATGATATTCGGAATCAGCATCAAAAACTGAGTCAATTTACATATGTTTCATATATTTTCGCATTGAAAAATTTATCCCTGCTCTCCCTTACGATCAATTCCAAAAATATTTTTTTCATTGAAAAGTCATTTCTACAGTATGAAACAGTTTCTAATATTTTAAGATGATGATTGATCCTGAGGAGATTCAAGAGTAAATTTTTCGAAGCAAAAAAATATTTAAAACACACATAATTTGACTTAGTTTTTGATACTGATTCCAAATATCACATTATTGTTGACAAAATTTCAGTTTCATAAGCATACAATTGTGTAACCATTAAAAAACACTATCGATCGACATAGATAGATTTACGGCAATTTAACTTCATGAATCTTAATCTGTCGACAAATCAACGAGCGGAACCGACTTTTTAATTCATATGCCATTGGCTGCTAATGAAGTGACAAATAAAAGATATTGATAACTTTTTTTCAATAGACTCAGTGTCTCATAGGAATCAATGTAGCATAATTGAATGCTCTCTCTCTCTCTCTCATGAGACCAATTCGAGATAAAAATGTCCTTGCTGTCAAAATTAATTAGCAAGATAACTCAAGATTTCGATAGCCATGTCGGCAATAAGAAATTAAGGAGAATGTTTTATATTTTTATTACTCTAGATATCATCATATTAATCTAAAATTACTGTCAAACTATTCAGCATAAAATTCTGCATCAAAAATACTTGAATTTTTCAACAGTTTAAGACTACGCAGGTTTGTAATCATATATAGCCTCAACTTTTTATTATATTCGTTACGTCAGATATTCTCGTTTTAAATCTAAAAGAAAAGTAACAAGCATGCTACAGATGTAGAAAATTGGACATGAAGAGAATGAGATCGTTTTGCATTTGATATCGATTTCCCAGATCTATAACAATATTGAAACCCGATTATTCTTGTTAATATATAGAAAAAAAAAACGCTGCTTTATCAAAGACATAAACAAAACACATATGTGATAAAAGAAATAAGATGAGTTTCCGCTGAAAACAGTACAAATACGTGACGTTTTGCATATGATGAAAAAAAGAATATCTGTCTTATGACAGAAAAATCTTTAAAGGAAATGGTAGACTATAGATGTTAGTACGACGTCGTTTGTAGAACAACATTTCTAAATGAAAACATCCATTAGAACTTTAATAATTCGCAATAAAAAAAAAAAGAAATTATTCCTATTACGATCCCAACATAATCCTTTCATTGTTAAAAAATATATTCGAACAATTCTATTGAATTTTTACAATCAAATATTCATAATTATATTTTTATTTTATTTATCGAACTAATTAAACTTTTATTATTTAGCAACTATCGCGGACAATACAAGTCCAACATCTACCGTTCAACAGCAACAACATCCTATAACAAATGTAACTACAATAAGAACAAGTCCAACACATGATGAAATGATTAAATCAGTAACAGTTAATTTTCAACCAAAAACTCAACAAATTCCAAGACCATCATCTACACATGGACCTATGATTTATCGTATGACATCCGTAAATCCAAGTATATTTCTTTCAAGAAAAAAAAAACTAATTAACCTTGAAAAATTTTATCTAATCCTTTTTTTTTAAGATGTTCCTGTTTTTCGTGTACGTGCAGCAACAACTCCTACTTCTACAACTGTTATAAATAAATCAATTAAAACTGAAACAAAACCAATATCAGTAACTACTGCAACGAATATGTGTTATGAATCAAAACCAACACATACAACTCCACCTACAAGTGGATCTGTTTCTGTACTTGCATGTTTTAAAACAACAAAAAAAAGAAATAAAGTATGATTCTCTTCAAAAATATTCATACTTGTTCGAACACTTTAAATTAATAATAATAATAAAAACTTAATTTTAATAAATCTTTCTAATATTATTTTTTTTTTCTTCATTTTCAGGAACGAGCAATTATGCCACGACCAAGTACAACTGATTCTAATGATACATCTCAAGAATTTCAACAACGTTTAAATACAATATTAAATACAAATACATCCTTAGTACTTAATAATGATATAACAAATAGTAATTCATCATCAGACTATCGTCAACAATCACCATCAACACCAACACGTCTTGTTCAACAAACAAGTTTATCATCAACATTATCCGATGATAATAGTACATCAAATATATTTTCATTATCAATGCAAGAACAAAATAATGATACAACAACATCATCATCAAATAGTATTCCTATTTCACGTCATAGTACAATACAATTTGATAATAATTTAAATTCAATTAAAACATTAACAACTCCAAATATATCACCATCAATGTCACCTATACAATCATTACATTCAACACCAAAACCATTAATGGAAGATAAATGTATACAATGTATTAATCATAAAAATGAATATGAAGATGATGATATTAGTATGAAACATGATGAAATCGACATCATAGATAATCAACAAATAATAATAAGTAGAAATAGAAAACAAGTTTTTTTTTTCTTTTTTTTTAAATTTCATTTCACAATAGATTCCGAAATTAGAAAACGATCTGCAGATGATATCATATCTAATGATGAAAGTTGGACAATTGCAGCGGACAGGTAATTTTTTCGGCTACATATTAATAGCAATCAAAAATTAAGCCAATCAATAAAAAATGATCGCTTTTTGAAAACACAATAAAAATGAGACAATGTAGTTTTACTCATTGAAAAAAGTGATCATTTTTCACAGAATCTTCCCGTAGAATAATAGTTCACTGGACTTCTAATTTGTTTCTCATCTCTTATCGCGATCAATTTTTTATTTGCTATGTTTTAATACGTTTGCAAGTATAGAAGTGTTCAAATTTGCAAGGTTATAAGCTTGGTATTAGGCTTCTGTTTTGTAAGAGGTTGATTGGCTTAATTTTTGACCGTAGTTAGGAAACTACGAATTATTCTATTTTCATTTATTTTATGTATTCAATTGATTTAGTCTTCTTCGTAATATTCTTTCTCAATATGGCTTTCGTTTTCTTGATGTTAATTGTCAACAAAATTTATCATCAAAATTTGATATTATTCAAACAAATCTTGTTGTAAATATTTCTATTTAATAAGATTGAATTTTTGAAAAAAAAAAGAAATCTATTTATGTATGTTTATTATTTAGAGTGGAGTATTATCATCAAAAGACGAATTTTATAATTCAGTTCTTGATATAAAACGTAATTTATTAAATAGTGATTTATCAAAAATTTCCGAAGATAATCTGGAAAAATTATTTAATTATTTTGAAATTGAATTTCAAAAAATATGTGATCAAACAAATGAACATGTATGTTTATAATAAATTAATTTAAGGTGTCAGTAATTCGAAATTTGAGCAAAAATTTTTTTATCATAGTTGGATAGAACTCGTTGAATTACCTGTGAAAATGTTGTTTTTGACATATTCAGACAATGTTTTAGGAAAATTAGATTAACAAAACCAGAAAAGCCTATAAAAATTGACATACTCCAATAGTCTCAAGTTTCAATATTTATCTGAATTTTTTTTTGATTTTTGAGAAAATTAATTTTTTTTCGATATACTAGCAAAAAAATTTATAAATGTAAGTTTATATTATAAGACTTTTGCTATCAGAACTTCAGTTTCAAAAGAAACGAATATCATATTCAGAATCAACACAAAAAACTACATCGAATAATATATTCAATATTCAAAACTAATTTTCGTCAAATTTCGACCTTGGGTTTAAGGTCGGATATTGGAGAAAAATTAGTATTGAGTATTGAGTATATTATTCGATGCAGATTTTTGTGCTGATTATGAATATGATATTCGCTTCTTTTGAAATTGAGGTTTTGATGGTCAAAATCTTAAAATCCAAACTCATTTTTATGATTTTTTTGTTATTATATAGAAAAAAAAATCGATTTTCACAGCGATCGAACAATATTTTTCAAGAAGCATGCTTCATTTTTTTTTATAACTATATGACGAATACAATCAAAAAACAAACAACATCGGAGAACTCGACGAGCTCTATCTAATCATGACAAAAAGAAATTTGATACAATCAACTTTGGTGGAAAGTAAAAATGTCGAAAGTAAAGCTTATCAGTTGTATGATCGAAGAGAAGACACAATCATCCACACCCTAATTGAAGATTATTATAATAGAATAAATTCTTGTATTTATCGAAATCACCCAAATATATAAGATTTGATTAGTTTTATAAAAGTAGAAGATAAATGTGTACAGAATATTATACTTCAATGATCTTCGAGTGCATTAAAGAAGAAAAATAAACAAATAGTAACATTCCAATGCCGAATAAACACATTGTATAATCGATATAATAATTATCTCATTGCAATATCTTATCTTCTCAATGACTTGTCTTTTATTGTAGCCCAAAAGAAAATTATGCTTGTACAAAAACGAGAAAAATATTCAGAAGTCTTCACCTTAGTTTTTCGACATTTTTATTTTTGACTAAAGTTTAGACAATCAAAATTTCGAATTATCCGATGGTACCATATATATGATTCAATATTTTTATTTTTTAGAAACGAATACGACGACAATAAGATAATGAATTAAATAATTGTTTATATATTATTTAATTTTCATCAGGTGGAATTAATCATTTATTTTTTAGTGTTTCATTTCACACTTATATGTAAATATGCTTGTGCATTCTAGAATTCTTTTGTCTCGTTATATTTGTTTTCTTTTTTTTGCTTGTTATTGTTTATAAATGATTGTATGATAAAACTTGGCATTGATTGCAATTTGAATTGTTTCATATAAAGCCTTAGGATTTGTATGTTGTGATTGAGGGTGATGTTTGTTTATTTGTTTCTTTTTGTTACAGCAAAATGTATGTATTTGTGTATTATTTTTTTTTTTTTGCTTTTGCTGGATGATCAAGCTAGAGAGGTGATATTGAAAACAAAAGTGATATCCTTTCTCTCTTTGTGTATTATTTTATTGTTTTTTTTTTCTGTCACTTTTGTTTATGTTTATATGAGTGAGAGATACAGAAGACAATTTATATTTATCATTTTCACTCATTATATAGTTATGTACAGATGATACGTTTATTTCAAAATAAAAATCATAAAGAAAATGATCGACAAAACACAAAGATAAAGATTATATATTGTATATATATATATATATATGTGTGTTTTTTCTTTCATAATAGATGATTTATTTATATTAATGCCTAAGAGTTTTGAAACTATCGTCAAAGAATGTCATGATTGTGGACAAAATGGTAAGATATATAAGGAATGTTTGCGATTGAAAGATTGATGTGTTATTTATTAAAGTTTGAAATCAATATTTCAAATTTTCACTAATGAAAGAGTAACGAATTTCTATGCTCATTAACTATGTATTACCTTCAGTTTCGATAGAATGATTAGTATCATATATCAACATACTATGTTATGCATGTCAAGAATGTATCGATAATTAGAAAAAAATAGGATGAGTATCCTTGAAAAATAGAAATATTCATTATTACGATCAGAAATAGTATATTAATCATATGCATGGAATAAACATGTTCAGTGCTCATTTTATTCCTGGTCTCAGTGACCTCTACCAAAAAATGTACCCCCATCTGAAACTACAAGAAAAAAGAGTTATTCAAATCGGAACTAATAATCATAGTTAAATTTCCTATGATTTTTAACGAATTATGTTATAAATCACATCAATCAAAACAAAATTCAAACGAGATAATCAAAACATGAATATTTAAGACTTATTTTGTAAAGATTTAATGGGAATAAATTTTAGAATAGTTTGTACTAAACTGAGACCGGAGTTACTGAAAAACTTTGACTGCATGTGTCTCTAGCGAGAAATCATGAATGTGACGATAACAGATGAACATAAATAATGTGATAATTACTTTGAGATAAATTTTGGTTATTCCTTTGACTTGATTGACTAGAAAATAAACATTTTAAGAATCTTCACTATACAATTTGTTAACTTTAGAGAATATGTTCCTATTTGGTTATATACAATGCTTTGATTGACTATGTAATAAATTTTTCGATTTCGATTTTTCAAACTCAGCATGATCATGATAAAATTCAAATGCATGAAAATCATAGAATGTTATTTTAAAAAATTGTTTTAAATCAGATTCTTTTTTTTTTTTGCATAAGGTCCTCAATGGTGTTCGATCAATCATGGTGTTCTTGTATGTGATGAATGTTGTAGTGTACATTTAAGTCTTGGTCGACATATATCACAAATAAAATCTTTGAAACGAAGTTATTGGCCACCAAATCAATTGAATGTATGAAAATAAAAAAAAGACTACTTAATTCTTATTTGAATTTAACTTTTGTTTTTTGTTCTTAGTTATTAAATGAATTAAGCTCAAATGGTGCTAATCTTATATGGGAATATAGTCTACGTGATCCACAAAATAAATTCCCAAAGAAAAAACCATCAGCTAAAGATTCACTTTCGTAAGAAATTAAAACGATCTATTCAAAACATAATCTCTTCTTTTTGTGAAATACGATGTCAAAAAAAAAGTATTGAAGTGCATAGAGTAGAAATTTACATCCCCTCTTCCTCGCACCAGACCGTGACAGATGTTGTTGATATATATTGGCAGACATAAGTTTAGAGCAATTGTATTTTTAAATTTTCCTCTCGATGTTAATAGCAAGCAAGACTTCCAGAAACAGCTTTCTGACTTCTATTCGAAGCTTTTGTCGAAGTATATTCAATTTACAGAAGGCCCTAGAAACATTTTTCTCGTCATTTTATTGAAAATTTTAATGTTTTTTTTGCCATGTTTTATGATTTAGAACCTTCGGTAAATTGAATGCAGTTCGATGAAGGAAAGATTGAATACACATCATCTTGCTCAGAATCATTCGCTCTGTCAATTAAAACCTTTTCCCCAAAAACTTCGAATGAAAGTCAGCCGGCTGATTTTAAGAAATTCGTGTTTCACATTTTAATCCTGAAGAGACTGTACTAATGACTTTTATTATTATTGTTGTTGTTGTATATGTAGAATTAAAGCTGAATTTATTCGAACTAAATATCAACAAATGGCTTATATTAATCGATCAAAAGATGAAACAAATGGAACATTGGAAGATTTAAATTTAGTAAAAATAAAAAAGACTTTTTTTAATGTTTATAAAAATTACTTGTTTTCTTTTTATAGCAATTACATTCGATTGTTCGAACAGATAATATAATAACATGTTTAAGATTTTTATCTCAAGGTGCTGATCCAAATTTTCGTAATCCGGTTAGATTTAAGAAAAAAACAAAAGTATATTTCTATATTCTAATTCATAAAATTATTTTATAGGAAACTGGAACATCATCTATTCATGTTGCTGCAAGTCGTGGTCAATCAAATCAAATTGAAGTAAATTATTTTTTTTAATGATTTATTAATTAATAAATATAAAATATATAATTTAGCTTCTTTGTATTTTTGGTGGTAATCCCGCAACAGTTGATGCTTCGGGTGTATCACCAGAAGAACATGCACGGTAAATAATAAAAAAAAAAGAAATAAATTGTTTATCAGATTTTCTTTTTTTGTTTTGTTTTATGTTTAGAATAAATGGTTATTCTGATTTAGCTGATCGATTAATTGAACTTCAATATGAATTAACTGATTGTCTTATATGTTTTATTGGTGGTAAACGACCAAATCATAAAACTAATCAACATATTGTTCTATCTGAATTAAATGAGAAGTAAATTAATTAGTTGAAGAAAGAAAAAATTTTTTTTATTTATTTTTATTTATTTTAATAGTCTTGATATATCTAATCAAGCATTAATAGCTCGTCAAAAACTTCGACAAGTATTTATAATTGACATTATAATAATAATTAATGATTTGTTTTTTTTTGTAATATTTTAGTTACCTGATTCACTTTTTGAAGATTTAGCAATGGATGTATATGATGAAGTTGAACGACGAGAATTAAAATCAAGTAAATATGATTAGATAATCTTCTTAAATTCTTTTTTTTTTGTTCCTATTAGCATGGCATGCACAAGTTGATCGAAAATTAATTCCTTTACATGTTGTACCATTTTTACCTGTTAATCCAACATTTTCAGCAACACGAAATCAAGTATCAAAAGAATAAAATAATTTTGAAAGACAAAAATCGAATTATATATATATATATATACTTTTTTTTTTGTAGGGTCGACAAAAATTAGCTCGATATGGTGTAAAAGATTTTAATACATTCATTTATGATATCTTAAATGAAGTTCGTAGACGATATTATGATTTAATTCAACCATCAACTGTTTCCACATCAACAAAATGTATGCAGAAAAAAAAAACTAAAGAGATTTTTGCTAATTTTTTTTTTAAATAGATCATACATTACCTCGACAAAATAAAGTTTCATCAATAGCAATGATTGATTCGGATGATGAACCTGTTTATGATAAAGTTGCATCTGATGATGATAGTAATAGTTTTAATAATAATAATAATAATAAAGTACAAAAACGTATTATATTAAGTAAAAAATTTAAAAAGGTTAAAATTATAAAAAGAATATTTTATTTAAATATTTTCTTTTTTTTCTCTTCGAAAAATTTTAGTTAGTAAAAAATCAATTCATTGATAATTCATTACTATCTTCAATTGAAGTACGAATATAAAACTAAATTTATTAAAAATTTTAATTAATTTCTTTAGTCTACAAATTTATTTGATAATTCAAATTTAGAAATAATTGAAAATCAATATTCATCTGATTTAAAATCTCGTATTATTAATACAGAAATGCAAGTTAAATATTTAGCATGTGCTCATATTGATTTAAAAAATGAATTATCTGTATTACATCAAATGGTAATTTTAAAAATGATTTTTCTTCTTTTCATTTTTTATATATATTTTATTTTTTTCAATTTAAATAGATTCAACGATTACTTGATGAAAGTCTTGTAAATAAAATTAATCAACAAGTAACAAATAATACATCTACTGTTATTAATTCCAAGGAAATAAATAAAATAATTAATAAAGTAAAATATTTATAT